GTCCTCATCCCTCGCATAGACAACTATACAGATAAAGGGCTGCCATTTCGACTCCGAAGGCGGCAGTTTCCGATTCGTCTCGCATTCGCCACCACCATAAACAAGGCGCAGGGTCAGACACTGTCAAAAGTTGGAATTTATCTTCCCGACGATGTATTCTCCCACGGTCAGCTGTATGTGGCATTGTCAAGAGCCAAAAATTCTGATTCAGTTAGAATCCTCTCACCAAAGCCTAAACTCAGAAATATTGTGTACAAGAGTGTCTTATGAATCTCTCATTCTCTACCTCTACAATGGTATATCGGACCGTATTCTGCAACAACTACTGCTGTATTCACACTGAGTCAGCTCTTAATTACTATTCTACACATGTGTTACTTTCCAAGTAAGTCAACCGCTTCTCATGCTTTCACATACCTCCAAAACCTTTGCTGCCCGATAATTTCAGCAAACTTCATATTTCAGGCTTACTAACACTTTCTGCTATATGGTATCGGCGTTTTTGTAAAGATGACGTAAAGCGCCACCTTTTTGTTGCCTTCTCCAAATTCGTCGCTACAGAGAGGTTCGGAATAAATAATGATTGAAATTCTCTCCGCACAAAACTGCATTCTTAGTGAGGCCTTTACTCACTAGACGAGTTGATCTCTATTCACAGTTCACAGAAAAAATTCTTCCCGTAATGAATAGAAAATAAAGTTTACTCAGGTTCACAAACTCTTAAAGTGCTTAACATGGGCACATAACTATGAGGCTTTTCAGGAGCTGACCTCGTCTTCAACAAGATTACATCCTTCGAAAGCTCCTCCGACTGTCCGTTTCTTTGTGAAAGACGCCTCTTTCGACTGCCAAGTATTTTGTGCTAATTTATGAACGGCAACCGTGTTCCAGTACCCAGGTTCGTAAACTCTTCAAAGTGCTTCACATGGACACATAACTATGAGGCTTTTCAGGAGCTGACCTCGTCTTCAACAAGATTACATCCTTCGAAAGCCTTCTCCGACTGCCAAGTATTTTTCCGCTCCTTTATGAACGGCATCCGTGTTCAGTTTACCCAGGTTGGTAACTCTCGAAGTGCTTAACATGGGACACATAACTATGAGACTTTTTAGGAACTGACTCAGCCAAGTATTTTTCCTGCTCCTTTATGAACGGCACCGTGTTCAGTTACCCAGGTTCGTAACTCTCAAAGTGCTTAACATGGGCACATAACTATGAGGATTTTCAGGAACTGACCTCATCCTCAACTGGATTACAGCCTTCCAAAACCTTCTCCGATGCCTGTTCCTTTGTGAACGGCGCCACCTTCGCCTGCCATGTACTTTGCGTTAATTTCTGCATGACCCGTGCTTCAGTACTTAGGTTCGTAGACCCTCAAATTGCTTAACATGGGCGCATAATTGTGAGACTTTTTAGGAGCTGACATCATCCTCAACTGGATTGCAGCCTTTCCGTCAACTGGATTACAGACTTCCAAAACCTTCTCCTGATGCCAAGCATTTTCTCTGCTCCTTTATCAACGGCACCCGTGTTCAGTTTACCCAGGTTCGTAGACTCTCAAAGTGCTTAACATGGGCACATAACTATGAGACTTTTTAGGAACTGACTTCATCCTCAACTGGACTACAGCCTTCCCCTCAACTGGATTACAGCCTTCCAAAACCTTCCCCGATGCCTGTTCCTTTGTGAAAGTGTCCTCCGCCTGCCAGGTACTTTGCGTTAATTTATGCACGGCACCCGTGCTTCAGCACTTAGGTTCGTAAACTGCCGAAGTGCTTGACATGGGCACTTAACTATGAAGCTTTTCAGGAGTTGTCCTCATCCTCAATTGGATTACAGCCTTCCAAAGCCTTCTCCGACGGCCAAGTATTTTGTGTTCCTTTGCGAACGGCACCCGTGTTCTTACCCCGGTTCGTGAACTCTCAGACTGTTTAACATGGGCATTTAACTATGAGGCTTTTTAAGAAATGAACCTACTTCTAACTGGATTCATGCCTTCCAAGGCCTTCTCCGACTGCCTGTGCTCCTTTGTGACCGGCTTGCGTGTTCAGCTTACCCAGGTTCATGAACTCTCAGAGTACTCAACATGAACACATAATTATTAGGCTTTTCAGGAACTGACGTCACCTTCAACTGGATCATAGTCTTCTCCAACTGCCTGCGTTCCTTTGTGAACGGCATTCGTGTTCACTTTATCCAGGTTCTTAAACACTAGGTGTCTCATTTGGGCGTTTTGCTATAAGGCTTTACAGAGGCTGAGTTGGCTTGCACCTGGAGCAGTATTAGATCTTCCCCACAATCGCAAATGCTGTTCTTCTTTCGTTTCGAACGGCATCCGTATCCACTCTAGATTTGTTAACTCTCAAATCGCTTACCCTGGACCTACAGTTACGTGACTTTTAGCGAGCGAGTTCACCTTTAACTGAAGAGGTATCAAGGAGTCCTACGACTCCCTATTTTCGTTTTCAGAATGCAGCTCTTCCCTCATCGTAAAGATTAGCTCTGTGGAGGGAGCACCTTTTATTTCGAGCTAGATTTCTGTTCATGCCTTTTTCAGACTTCTGCAATTGCTCTTCTTCTTTCATTCAGTAATTGTTTCTTTTATGACTTCCGACTCTGGCGGTTGCGCAGAGTAGCGGAACCTTCTTTTGAAAAAATCGTGCTGTGACTGCTCAAAGTCTATTACTACTGCAAGGGATATCCGTGAATTTTTTTTTGCTTCTCACTTTTGATAATATAAAGTCGGGCTAATGCTAAGCTTTGGTTTACTTGCACTACGCACTTGCAATTATGTTGTTTCATCATGCAACTTGACCTTTTAGTGAAGGTAATCGCTGCAAAATTGTTTTCGTTGTGCAAACTATGTCAAGACTTCTGGAAAAGTTATGTATTCTATATGTTACCGCACAATAAATATCTTCAAAGTCAGGGTTTTTGATGGAGTCAAAGCAAACTGAAGCTAAGGATAAGCCGACGTTTACTGAGAGATCGCTGAGATATCTAGCTAAGGTAAACACTATTCATAAAGTTCGGTCCTCGTGAATTTGACCTCAGTGTTTCGTAGACAAGGTAGTCGCGCTACACAACCTGCCCTTATAACGTTATCTTTTCCATGGGCAACGGAGGTGTTACAGCAAGCGAATGGCCTCACAGGGAAACCTCTCGCGCAATAACCAGAAGTTGTTTGTGCGTGGGCGTCTGTCTGACCACATACAATT